ATCTAAACCTCCCCCACTGCAGCTTGAGACCATTACTCCTCGTTCTGTCATCTGCTACCATTGAGAACAGTCTAGAGCCATCCTCTTTGGAACCCCCTTTCAGGTAGTTGAAAGCAGCTATCAAATCCCCCCTCATTCTTCTCTTCTGCAGGCTAAACAATCCCAGCTCCCTCAGCCTCTCCTCATAACTCATGTGTTCCAGACCCCTAATCATTTTTGTTGCCCTTCGCTGGACTCTCTCCAATTTATCCACATCCTTCTTGAAGTGTGGGGCCCAAAACTGGACACAGTACTCCAGATGAGGCCTCACCAATGTCGAATAGAGGGGAACGATCACGTCCCTCGATCTGCTCGCTATGCCCCTACTTATACAGTACTCCTATCTGGTGGGTTTCTGTGTACTTAACTAAATGGCTGTTCAGTTTCTGCTTGTTTTTTTGATCAGTGCCAAAGTGTGTTGCTTGTGGTACGTCTGTATCAGTACCAGTATTTCCAGCAATGGCCCTCTCTAAGCAGGCTTTCATGGTACAGTGGTGAAAACACCTACATTTCTGTCTACACTGATGCTTACACTGCTGCTACGACTGCTGCAGTCGAACCACTGCTGATAGTTGAACTGTGAATACTCATTTTTCTAGTGTGGACAAGGCCAATGAGACTGCAATTTGTGTCAGTTTTCCCAGTAAAAGGCTCTCTGGTACTTTTAAAACGGGCACACTTTTTTTTTTAATGTTCTATATTTCTATTATATACAGCAAGCACATGTAGGCAAGATATTTTGTCTGCAGGTTCAACCCAGGTAGGGCTGCTTCTCTCTAACCCTTCTTTGTGTCCCACACCAGGGCAATATTTGTATTTTGTGGTCAGATTCATTAGCAGCACATAAACTCTAAATGGACCAGCAAAGCAGTATTCAGCCAATTTGTAATGTAAGTTAGTAAGAAGTCGGGTCTATAAATCAGGTCATGGGTTGGTTTTGGCTTTTTAGCATTGAGATTTGATTTGAAATGCATTTTCCACTGGACAGATTTTATACTATCATTCATATGTGCTCTGTGTTGGAGGTGTAATAACTAGTTTTAATCAGAGTTTTAGTATGGACCATTGGATTAAAATTTAATGAGCCAAATTAATTTACTAAAACTCCACTCCAGCCAATGCCATTATACCAGGAATGATGTTGAACACGTGTTTCAAAAGAAGAGCCCCTAAACATGCAAAAACAAACATTTAAAATGGGTTTCACTAAAGGAATTGTTTATTTTTAAAAAAAAGGGATTCTAGTCAAAACCTCTGTGGAAAGAAATGTCAACTAATGAATGGATTTGTTTGAAGACCAGATGTGTTGCATTTGAGTTCTGCAGTGGCTTTTGTGGTATTTCTTTAAGTATTTGGAGACTGTTTTAATGTGAGGTGATGGACAGAAAATGGAAGTTGCCGTGCCCTGGCACTTCGTGTTGCTATTGTCATAGGAACGTTTGGGAGGGGAGTTCATCCCATGGGGCTGCTTCACTCCACTTCCAGGGATACCTACGAGGACAGATAGATTCTTACTCCAAAGTCCATGTTTTGACCTGCTCCGAATTGTCCATTTCATCTCCCCATTACTGCTACATTCCTTGGTTTTTGGGCCCTGGAAGATTAATTATCTTGATTCTGTTTTTTTTCCAGCAAGTCTGGTCTTCGCTTTGGTTTCATGTGAGAGACCCGAGTAAGCACTGGAATAAAAAATTGCCCAGGGAGGTGGTGGAATTTCCATCATTGGAGATTTTTAAGAGCAGGTTAGATAAACACCTGTCAGGGATGGTCTAGATCAGTGGTCCCCAATGCGGTGCCCGTGGGTGCCATGGTGCCCGCTGGGGCATTTTTGTGCACCCACAAGACACCCTGCCGCCGAAATGCTGCCAAGGAGCATGGCCGCCTTAGAACCACCCGCCAAAATGCCACCAAGAAGCGTTGCCATTTTGGCGGTGATGCTTGGCATTTCGGCGTCCGGTTCTAAGGCGGCCGCGCTCGTCGGCGGCATTTCAGCGGCAGGGTGTCCGGCACCCACCACGGCAGTATGCTATTCCTACAGAAAGGTTGGGGACCACTGGTCTAGATAATGCTTAGTCCTGCCATGAGTGCAGGGGACAGGACTAGATGCCCTCTCAAGGTCCCTTCTAGTCCTACGAGTTTATGGTTCTGAGGTTTTGTACATAAGGTGACCATGTTTAAAACCAGAATTACAGTCCCCTAGAACCTCAGTCTCAATCTCTGAATTGTTTTAGATAGAATCCCCTTAAATATGATCTTTGTGCTAATCAGAATGACCTGATCGAAATACTTTGGGGGAACTAAATAGGAGCAACTTTAGCAGTTACCTTGCATAGAAGCTCTTCACATAGAAACTATGAATTTGAATATATTTTCTTCCCTTTAAATAGAAGGTGAATTCTGTTAACTTTCATGCTAAAGGATTAGTTACCTGTCAGTGGGGGGGCTTCTGAATGCAGATATGCTGTCATTGTCAGTGTCTCCCAAAATAGCTATGTAATAGTCTTCCATCTTCCCTTGCAGTCTAACAATCAAATGCTGGAGTGACCGACCCATTTAACTCTTCTGAATTGCATGCTCTTGAAAAACTAGAACAGCATGGGTTCTGTTAACGAGATGCAGATGTCTCAAAATAGGCATTGAACTTCCTAATGCACACAATCGGCTCTGAATACTGAAAGTTCAGCAGTTTATGGAATGCCAAATAACACACAAACCTGTAGCCAGTTCTCACAGGCAAGCTGTCCAGGCTGACACAGGCATTTAAGGAAAAAGGGTGAGAACATCTTGCATTTCCCAGTGCCAAAAGAAACTTGGTAATAAGACAGTTCTGACTTCAAATAACATACTGACTTCTCCCAATGGCACTCTCCTATACAATGCACTACACGATGGTGACTCTGCATACCCAGAAAAGCTTGTCCTCGTAGAGGGACATGAAGAATACTTCACTCGTTAGAATGCGGCCTGAATAAACCTTGAGTAATTTTCCTGCTTTGCAGGTGGTAAAATGGGCCTCTTCTGTTATTTTGAGCACAGTGACGTGTAGTAAGTTCTCACACAAACCGTTCAGATTTGTGTGTGGCAGAATACACTAAGCCCTTAGTTTATTTATATTTTTAATTTAACACAAGTGGAAATAAATGATTTCGGTCTGAGGCACTCAAACTAAGCTTTTTTTCTTTTTTCTTTTTCGCTACCAAATAAGTAACACAGCAACTGAATGAGCGCGGTTTCACACAGCACAGCCTAGTGGTTCTCCAAATTGTATTTCATACACTCGTTTGTAAAGCGTTACCATCGCAGCAATTCCTTATTGAGCTCAGATGTGATTTGGTAGTCCAGCATTGCGAAACGCACTCTTCCACTTGCATATATGTGCTAGGTCTTTCAAATATGTATGAGTGGTTTATTTTGGTGGCATAAATATGCTCTCGTGTTTAGAAATAAGTACTCTTTAACTTTTTTCCGGATTGATTTCTTTCCATCAGCAAAAGGATATTTTATCATGTTAAATACATTGTGCTATAAATCTGATAAACGTGTTTCAGATCCTGTTGGAACTGTGTTTATTGCCAGCTCAGAATGGCGCTGTGTGATCAGCATGGTGACTGGTGCTATACAAGGAACTAAAATGAGATGGGATAGTTCTGTGCATGGTGCATATAGCAGGAAGGGTTGTGCATTTAGATTTGGCAGTAGAAATTGTTCTGAGCTGTATCCATTTGGCATATCACTGGATAATCTGTGTAATATTTGAGAACCCTGTCTGACTCTCATGAGCACTTCCAAACGTTGCTATGGCCAAGGTAATTGTGTGTAAACAGATATGCTCTTCTTTGTAATCAGCCTGCTCCTGCTGCTTGTTGATGAGTTGTGGTGTCGCAATCCAGGGTTTGTGTCCTTAATAAGTGAATCCTGCAGAATTAGTAAGTTTCTGTTGACTGCCAGAGTGTGGTGAAAGTGAATGACAGGTAGTGAGGTTCTGGTGAAATAATTGTTGTAATTTTTCTGCAATGTGGTAGATTTGCTGTATGTCACTCTCCATGCTAGATTTCGGAACAAAGGCTGCACTCTTCTTGCAGCTCATACAGCTTGTTTCAGAGAATTCCAATTCATCTGACTGTTCTAAATATGAAAGTTTGAGCTGTGTAAATATTCCTGGTACCTATGGAGTCATACTGGAGTGGTCTCTCCTGGGCTTTCCCATTTAACGTGGCTGTTACAAATGAAGCTGCTAGCACTGCTGTGCCCAGGACTTGAGGAACTACAATATACTTGGCATTTTCACTATTTAGGATGAGATAATGCTAGGCATATATCTATAAAGGGCTTTTGCTATCAACTTCTTTCTGTTTAAAGGTTAAGTAGCTCAGCTGTCAAGATTGATTTCCCAGCTTGCCTTCAGTTTCAGAGTCCAGAATGAGTGTCTTTGATATAGTAACTTTTCAATTTATACAAAAAATAGTAAGTTTTTACACTTAGAGTGCTGCAGTGGGTTGTATGTAGTTCCTCTGTTCACATTAACTAGCTTAGCAAAGCCTATTTTTAACATGAGCTGCTCGATTGGTTCGTTGGCTTCGTAACTTAAACTCTGTGTCGTGGCTTTTACAATCTGCATTACAAAGCTGACCAAATGAAGGAATGTGTTCGCAAGTCACTTAATTGACAATAGATGGAAAAAATGCTAAATAAATAATTCTCTGAACGTTTTTCAGCCATCTGGTGAGCTGGGCAAGCAAGTATTTAATTGTGAGTATATTTTCCCCCAAAAAGTCTGAATTTATCTGACAGAATAATTGTAATTTAATCCACCAGCTCTACTATATTTACTGTATTCAGTAATTGAGATTTACTTGATGAAGTATTCAAAAACTTCTTCAATCCCTTGTAGTTGCTAGAACAAAGAATCTGGAGAGATCAGGACTCCGTGAGTGATTCTTCATTTTGGTTTAAATTCACAGGTGTTTCACCAAAACCAACGGCACTTTTAGCAGCAGCACGCTACCTGTTGTGCCCCTAGTGGCACCTTATCAGCAGGACAGTTTAGAGATGAAACCGCTGAATCATGTGACGGTAGCCATGTGTTTAGCCTCCACGGTCCTGGAACGCAGCATCGAGATGGAGGAAGACAGCAAGGAGAAAGTGGAGCAGCCGTCTACTCAGCATTCTTGCTGTCAGGAAAATATGAACCAGATTAACATAGATTACCCAGAAGGTATGCCAAAATTGGGGGAGAATAAATCTTGGCTTCCAAACTGCGTGCTTATTATACAACAGCTGTAGGGTGCTTAATCTGACTACACAGAAACTAGCAATTAGTCTCGGAAATGGAAAGCCAGAGTCTGCAAGGTGTTGATCAGCTTGCAGCTCCCCCTGAAGACAATGGAAGTGAAGATATTAAAATGCCTTCCAGATGCATGCCCTAAATAATGAGTGTTCTAAATGGAACCCCCCCCCAGTACACCTACTCCAGATGATGTGATGACTGATTTATTTTGAATGCTATTTTTTTTAATAATCTTGGCCAGTACCACCTTAGGCGTTGCTCTTATCAGATCTCATATTCTAAGAAGAATCAGGCTGGGTAATTACGTATATGAGACCTCTAGGGAAAGCCCAGGTACCTGCAGGAAGTGGAGTTAATTCAGAGTTAGCTAGGGGATGCACCAAATGGGGAAACTGGAATTTAGGAATAAACTGTCTTGTTCTTTTGGGCGGCAAGAGCTGAAAGCATCACACATTCCTTTATAGCTCCTGGCTGGCCCCAAAGAGAGAGAGATTTTGAGCTTCCCAGCTGAAAAGACAGGTCGGATCAACATGGTGTTTAGAGGGGGTAAAGACAAGGGATCAAGGGTCCTGGCAGTTCCTTCCCACCCCATCATTTTGCCTTTTCTTCTTCTATGAAACCATCTCCACTGGGCTATGGCAGCCCTTCCTTTTTTGTGCAGGTTAACAGTAAGTGCACCCCAGTCCCCAAGTCCCTTTGAAGCATTCTCCTGTAGTGTTCAGTACCTTAGACACTGAATGCTCACAGAATTATCAGGTTAGCTATCCCCATGGGAATGGTATATGCACCAGCTTGTATGATTCAAGTCAGGATCAGCTCATATGTAACATCAAAGCACTGAGATATATTTATAGTGAAAACAATCATAACTTTATTATCAAAGATTAAGATGTAAGAGACAGTGAGTAAGGATAATGGTAATAGAAGGGTTATATATAAAACAAAATCATAACACGCACAGGTGCGGCACCTAGGGGGGAGGAGGGATGCTGCAGCACCCCAAGGTTTTAGCTGGGGCTCTGCTGCCTGCCTGCTGGATCCCCAGGTCCCGGCCTACTGGCTCTGGGGGCAGGGGAGGAGGAGCGGACAGAGGTAAGGGGGCTGGCTTTCAGCACCCCCATTATTCAAAGTGTTCCCGCACCACTGATAAGTTTAATCTCTAGAAAGCGGGTTAGCAGTCTAACCTTCTGTCTAAGAACGTTTGTCTGACCCCAGATGTCTTTCGCAGTGTTTCGGCCAAGCCTGGTTGAGATTCCATTTGCATGAATGTAAACACGCTGTCCCTTTACTTCCTCAGGTGTAGGATAAAGGGGAGTCTCCTTGCCTTCTACTTACATCCCTATTGGTCACTGACCTTAGAGACAGCAGAATCTCCCCCCTCCCCGCCCCTATTACTTGGTTTTTTTCCTCTGTTCTTTTCCTGTTGATCCTGTATGCAAATGGATCTTTCATTGTGTTGCCTAACACTACTTAATTTACATTTGACAGAGAGATACACATCTTACTCCCTGTCTGGAAGAAACTTTTTTTTCTCTTTGGTTGGTGACAGACTTTAAAACCTATATTTTCAGTACATGTACACAGCTCCTTAAATATCCATGCGTACATCAGGTAACGATTATGAGGATCAGTATGACATAATATTTTTCTTAGAAACCTCACGACCTCATTTATGGATAAATATCATAAAAATGGTGTGCTAGGAGTGATGAGTTTGTCAGGCCTCTTATGAGTTCCTGTTACACAACTGTGAACCATTTGGCATTGAGAGGTTCTTAGGGTCATAATGTATTTGTATGTTTTAATTAGATCAGTGAGGCAGCTTGCCGTTTGAAACTAGGGCTTTCCCCATAATCTCCCAAGGAAGCAAAGCCGCTATCCACAATCTGATCACTAAATCTAGTGATAACTGGAAGTACATTATTAAAAGGCCAAGAGAACAGGGAAATGTATCATGAGAAATGCCCTAGGAAATTAGCAATTCCTGCTAGGGTTTAACACTGTACAGCGTCCAAACTAATTTTCACTATTAGTGGAAAGCAAAGGTTTCCCCAGTTCACGAGTCTGCATTTGGAGATTGGTGGGGCAAGTATGCTGAAATAGTGAAGGGGCGAGGAGAGATTTCATGCTAATATAAACTGCTCTTGGTTTGCAGGTGACATCTGTGCACATTCAGAAACATCAGATCATATTTTGAGCTGGAGTCCTCTTATTCTGCAGCCTGTTTCAAAGGACTGTAATGAAAAATCAGGATGGAATACGCCTGGTGTCACTTTAAACAGCTCCGGGGACCTTCGGCCACTCCAGATGCAGGAAAGCTGAAGAAGCAGCAGCCATTTTCCCACTTAAAGCCAGTAACTGCACAGCAGAGTCACTGACAAGGACTGACAGAGGGGTGTTAATTCTAACAGAGAGAGTCACTATTTATTTTTTTGTAGTAGTGTCATGAATGTATCTTGTTTAAAATGGTTGCCTTTTTATATTATTTATGCCTTGAGAAATTCCTTTGTTTTTTCCACACCCTGTGGAATTAGCCTGGTTATGTATAAAGTTTTGTAATAATATAAAGAACAACGATGGGAAATATATAGTGTGTTTTCCATGGATATTGCCAGCATGAGAAGCACTTCTGCAGAGGAGCATAAATGTTTAGTATGCAGACTTATTAGAGTGGATCCGACCCGAGTGGTTCTGAAGTTCATAGCAGATTATAGCCACCCTATAGAGCTGCCGTGTCACTGGCATTTGTTGCAATATTTTTACAGCTAATTTCTCTGACTATGCTCAAATGCTGCTGTTTCAGGCTCTCTTAATGGAAAGAGATTTGATAATGGACCCCAGCCAATCTGTTTATACGAATGATCCAGCTGGTCGAATAGGTCTACATCTGATTTGGGAACCTGAGCCCAGCATTCAGCTGGATACTACTTATCATATTTTGAGTTATCTCCAAGTATTGGAAAATCCCTAGTGTTCAGAGAATTTCATAATTCCCAAAACTGTCATGCCTTCTAGCAGGAATGATTTATCTGAACATTCTTACTGGAAGGTCACTATTTGTTGTTTTTAAAAGTATTAGTCATCTAAATAGGGAACAGAAAGTATTCCATATAACTTGTGGGATCAGCTATATAATATACATAAGGAATAATCTACATGAATAATTTGTGAACAGCCTAGAGTCTGAGCATTGTTTATCCAAGCTCGTTAGCACATAGTGATTGCTCTGAACATATTCGTTATTGTTAAAGGCTCTCAACCAAAAAAGGCTGCTACATTCAGAAGAGTTATTGGCAGTGAGTATGTAACTGTCTCTTACTAGCTGATTGTTTTTCATTCTTGTGCATGTTTTAAATTTCGCTGCAGGTAAGTCGGGTTGAATTTTCTCAGTTTACATCTTAAACCTGCTCATGCATGCGCACCTTTCCTTCAGAGCAGGTGGGATTGATATACCAAGAGTAAATGCCGGCAGGGCAAAGTGAACTCACTCTGAAATGTCCAACTGCTTCAGTTTCTACAGCACATTAGTACATACTTGCCACTAATTCCACTAGCTTAATTTCCAGCTTAATTGCCTCAGATTGGACCTGTTCAATTTACAGCGGGACCTCCAGTGCTTGGTACTTTTCTAATCCCCCCACAAGCTAATATTCAGCAGTGCCAGTAGTTGCACTTCTCTAAACGTAACCCTGGTTGGCAGAAGTCACATTCCTAAAATATCATCGTCCAAGATGCACCGTTATCACAAATGATTCAAACTAAAGTATAACGAACGTTTTGTGATACTTTAGCCCGGCTTGCTTGCTGCGCTTACAAAGGCAAAGTTCAGTCCTTTGCCATGGATCTCCCAGGGCCTGAATGGTATTTTAACTCCATGGTTTGAGAAAAAGGGAAAACGTATCATTCGTGTAATAAGGCTCTCTTCGCCTGTTAAATAAGAGCACGGAGGTGTTGCTTTAGAAAATTGAGCCTGGTGCTGTCGTAGACGGTGTCCAACAAACCACAGCTCAGACAATGGCTGGGTACGAAGAAATCGGCCTGTATCTCAGACGTAGCAGCTGGAGTGTGACGTAGGTGTTGCAATGTTAACTGCTCTTTTTTTCCAAATTTAATCAGATTAAATAAAACAAACTTTCCCTTGTAAAACACCCTATCCAAAAATCAGAGCCTGTAAGCCAAGGAATGAGGCACATAACTCGCTGTTACTGCCACCCTCAGGCAAGGTGTGTGCAGTCTCCTTTTAATGGGATGAATGTTTCCCTAGCTAGAGCGAGAAACACCCCGAGGGGCGGGAGAGAGGCAAAGCTGCCCTATTTGAATCACAAACCCCTTGCAGGAGAAACCAGGAGGTGGCTACAGGTGCACTGTACAGTAGCATCTCAGAGTTACAAACACCCGAGTTACGAACTGACCGGTCAACCACACCCCTCATTTGGAACCGGAAGTACGTAATCAAGCAGCAGCAGGGACCCCAAAAAGCGAATACCGCACCGTACTGCATTAAACATACTCTCCTGAAAGACAGTAAGGGGAAAGCAGCATTTTTCTTCCGCCTACTAAAGCTTCAAAGCTGCATTAAGTCAATGTTCAGCTGTAAACTTTTGAAAACAACCAGAACGTTTTGTTCAGAGTTACGAACAACCTCCCTTCCTGAGGTGTTTGTAACTCGGAGGTCCTGTGGTACCACACTGAGTAAGATGTGTGTATCATAAAGACTGACTCTGTACTTTTCTAACTATTGCAACAAATGTCAAATGCGGCCTGCGTGTATACAGTGTGTGAAAATGTTATATATAATATAGGATGTATATTATATATTTTGTAAATTTAGCCCTTAAATGAGAACTTCCTGGGATTGATCTAGGTCACTATGCAAGAGTTTATTGCAGTGGGAAACTAGTTGATGCTGCTTTTGCTCGGTGGATGGGAGAGGGGGCTGCACCAGATGTGGACACGAGTTCTCTATTCCTGATGTCCAGGTGTACAGCGTGTGCTAATGGATTAGTCTGCATGTTTGTGAGACCTAATTAGCGTCCGAGGAAGGCAGACTCCTGTCGTAGTGTGATCTATTGAGTGCAATGGCCGATCTCGTGAGGTTACGAAAGTTGCCTGTTAGGAGAACTAGCATATTAAATGCTTTGACAGAGAGATCCAGGAAACTCTGCTGTAAGAGTTTGGTAGTTTGGAGCAGGAAACCAAGGCAGGTTCGTATGAGTCCTTGGGACATAAACTGCTTTGAAAGAGTCAGATTTTGCAGGTGGGGTTTCTACTCAAGGAAGAGTTTGTTGTAATCTGCCATGTTAGCAGAGTCTCATCATGGACTGCTTTATTTATAATGATTAACACTGTTTTAAGTGTTTTTCTTTTATTGTATTTTATTTATAAAAATATATATATGTTTGCCTTTCTTTTTAGGGGTCATGTGTTCTCCCAACTATAGGTGCATAATTATAAAACTCTACACAAATCCTGCATAGATGCTGTGATTCCCAGCTCATGCACATCAGTCCAGTCTCATCCTTAGACTTCAGCTAGTATCAGCTCCCCAGGAAATGCTGGAAGGCCTTTCCCCTCTGAAAACCTGCCTTGTTCTTTAAAGCTGGCTTGGTTTTGTGCTTTTAATGTTGTTTTCCTTTGAAATCTAGAGGGCACAGGGGCTTAGGGGGATGTGGGAAGTAGACAAACTCTAGAATCCTGGGTTCATTGGCAAGGGTTTTGGCACCAGGGGGATGAGATGCATTGGCAGAGCTGTGATGAGGAAACTTTTATATTAACTGCCTATGTTATGCTTGACTCTAGCCAGTGTTAAGTTCTTTGCTTCTGTGGGCACTACATAACCTAGGGGTGGGTTTGTTTGTTTTTAAGAAGGTTCACTGACATCAGACCTATGTGCATTTCCCTTTTTTACCCTGTTTTTTAAACACTGAGGCCCTCTGAAGCTTCCTGGTTTTACTAGCCAAATCTTGATCTCTCAGAAACAATCCATTTAAAAATCGTGTTTCAAACCTTTCCTCTTGGTACGTGCTCTAGTTACGTAATGGTGTGTCTCAATATGGGTCTATGATATAAAACAAACAAACCAACCCTCCCTGATCCTCCCGGTATCTGAGAGTGTCATTCCGCTGTCGTACTGCCCAAGGGAAATGTTTTTCTGTATTTCACCTGTGTGGTCTTTGAAAGCAATGACTTAAAGATGCATGGTTTTTGTATCATATAGAAAAATATACTATATTTTCCTAAAAAAAAAAAAAAAAAAGAGTTGTAATATTCTTTTGAAATTGTACATATTTTTAAATGATGTAGTTTTTGGCAGAATTTTTTTGGTGGTTTGATTAATATTAAAGAGAATGCTGCTGCTTTGAGTGATGCTTATTAGATTATGTCTGCTCTTGAATCGACAAGTGGTGTGAATTCTCGTTAGCCGAAAGCTACTGATACTAGAGAAAAGGTCAGACTAGCTATATCACTACTTAATATAGGCCAAATTATTTACTACTTTCATATTTAATTGTGCTTCACCAAATTTACCCTACCCTAAAGAACTGTGAATTGCCAACAATATTTTAAGTCGTAGGCAAGGACTAGAAGAAGCCAATGGCCTTTTTAAAAAAGAGAGTGGATCGCTGATATGGCTTAGACATAAATGATCTGGAAAAAGGGGTAAACAGTGAGGTGGCAAAATTTGCAGATGATACAAAACTAGTCAAGATGGTTAAGTCCCAAACAGACTGTGAAGAGCTACACGGGGATCTCTCAAAACTGGGTGACTGGGCAACAAAATGGCAGATGACATTCAGTGTTGATAAATGCAAAGTAATGCACATTGGAAAACGTAATCCCAACTATACATATAAAATGATGGGGTCGAAATTGGCTGTTACCACTCAAGAAAGAGATCTTGGAGTCATTGTGGATAGCTCTCTGAAACCATCCACTCAGTGTGCAGTGACAATCAAAAAAGCGTACAGAATGTTGGGAATCATTAAGAAAGGGATCGATAATAAGACAGAAAATATCCTATTGCCTCTATATAAATCCATGGCACACCCACATCTTGAATACTGCGTGCAGATGTGGTCGCCTCATCTCAGTTGGAATTGGGAAAGGTTCAGAAAAGGGCAACAATAATTAGGGGTATGGAACGGCTTCCATATGAGGAGAGATTAATAAGACTGGGACTTTTCAGCTTGGAAAAGAGACGACTAAGGGGGGTATGATCGAGTTCTATAAAATCATGACTGGTGTGGAGAAAGTACATAAGGAAGTGTTTTCTCCTAACACAAGAACTAGGGGTCACCAAATGAAATGAATAGGCAGCAGGTTTAAAACAAACAGAAGGAAGTATTTCTTCACACAACTCACAGTCAACCTGTGGAACTCCTTGCCAGAGGATGTTGTGAAGGCCAAGACTATAACAGGATTCAAAAAATAACTAGATAAGTTCATGGAGGATAGGTCCATCAATGGCAATTAGCTAGGATGGGAAGGGATGGTGTCCCTAGCCTGTTTGCCAGAAGCTGGGAACAGGTGACGGGATGGATCACTTGATGATCACCTGTTCTGTTCATTCCCTCTGGGGCACCTGGCATTGGCCAGTGTCAGAAGACAGGATACTGGGCTACGTGGACCTTTGGTCTGACTCAGTCTGGCCGTTCTTATGTTCTTTCATGCAGCATAAGGAAGCCTCAGAGCTTTGACTATATATGGTTGTGGTGTTCCACAGTGGGGAATATTTCAACCCTTTCTTGTCAGTAATGTGGGAGTGGGACCTTCGTTTATTCATGGACAGGGTTATTTAAACTGAAGTTAATGTTACTAATGTCTCAGTTTTCTTACCCTTCAGACACACAGTGAGTGAGCTGTAGCTCACGAAAGCTTATGCTCAAATAAATTGGTTAGTCTCTAAGGTGCCACAAGTCCTCCTGTTCTTTTTGCAAATACAGACTAACACGGCTGCTACTCTGAAACCGTGAACACAGAAGCTTTTAAAAACCAGACTTTAAAATATTAGACATTGCTTTTTTTTATTCAGTACACTAACACCAAAGGTGAATCTTAAAGTGCCTCTCTCTTCCTCCAGGCTTGGAGAGAGCGGGATTCCCAGTCATGGTCTTCGCGGTGCTGCTTCTGGCCTACACAGTTGCAGTTTGGGTGAATTTTGCATAAAAGATGGGGAGTATTTACCAGTACTCAGGATCTGCTGGTGCTTTATAAACATACAAAATACGGTCTCTAAACTGAAGAATATTCAGCTTCGGTCTACAGCTTCAATGTGGCATTAGCTCCTTAAAGGCGATTGGCAAAGGGGGCTCGGAGTGTGGGTTTGGGTTTGTCCGATGGGTAAAGAGGGCCTACAAGTATGTGTTAATCTGGGGTTGGTTTGTTTTTTAACTCTAGAAATAACAAGAACCTAGTTTTGCTTGGAGGAGCCTTGTACAGAAGTCCCAGCTAGGGTTGCCAACTTTCTAATCGCATGAAACTGAACACCCTTGCCCTCTTCCATGCCCTGCCCCTTCTCTGAAACCCCGCCCCCACTCACTCCATGCCCCTCCCTCCATTGCTCACTCTCACCCTCACTCACTTTCACTGGGCTGGGTCATGGGGCTGAGGTGCAAGAGGGGGTAAGGGCTTGGGTGGGGCCAAAAATGAGGGGTTCAGGGTGTGGGAGGGGGCTCTGGCCTGGGAAGGGGGTAGTTGGGGTGTGGGAGGAGGTGATTCCAGCTTGGGGTGCAGGCTCTGGGATGGGGCTGGGAGTGAGGGATTTGGAGTGCAGGAGCGGGCTCAGCCCTGGGGAAGGGGGGTGGGGAGCAGAAGGGGGCTCTGGGCTGGGGCTGAGGGGTTTGGAGTGAGGGAGTGGGCTCAGGGCTGGGGCAGGGGGTTGAGATGTGGGAGGGGGTGCGGGTTCGGGGTAAATAATCCTAATCTTTTATGCAAAATTCACCAAAACTGCAACTGCAACTCTGGGAGGGGGGTCAGGGCTGAGACGGGGTTGGGGTGCAGGCTCCAGGAGGGAGTTTGGATGCAGGAGGGGGTTCCGACCTGGGGCAGAGGATTGGGGTGTGGGTGAGGATTCAGACTCCAGCCAGGCAACGCTTACCTCAGGCAGCTCCCAGTCGGCAGTGCAGCAGGGCTAAAGCAGACTCCCTGGCTCCTGGAAGCGGCCAGCATGTCCGGTTCCTAGGTGGAGGCGCGACCAGGCACCTGTGCGCACTGCCCGTGCCCGTAGGCACCGCCACCGCAGCTCCCATTGGCTGTGGTCCCCAGCCAATGGGAGCTGTGGAGCCGGAGCTTGGGGTGGAGGCAGCGCACGGAACTTTCCTGTTCCCACCTGCGCCTAGGGGCTGCAGGGACATGCCGGCCACTTCTGGGAGCCATGCAGAGTCAGGGCAAGCAGGGAGCCTGCCTTAGCCCAGCTGTGCTGCTGACCAGACTTTTAACGGCCCAGTCAACGGCGCTGACCGGAGCCGCCACGGTCCCTTTTTGACCTGGCATGCCGGTTGAAAACCGCACACCTGGCAACCCTAGCGCCAGCCGCTGGGTATTGTGAGCTAGTATGCCTGTCTTCATTGAAGGGGTGGACATGCTGAATTTGTAACTTTTTCCCAAGTGTTCTTTAGGTATTGACGTTCGATAGGTTTTAACAAAAGCAGAGTTCTAAGCATTTGACTTCACATTCCTTCCCTCCCAGTTACTCAAAATTCACTCTCTTGTACCTTCGTATCATCATTTCACTAGTCCACCAGCCACCCTAGTCTTCCAGTGTGCACAAGCCCTGAATTTTTGTTGTAGACCAAGTAGAAAGCCCTTCCCCCACCTTTTTACATAAATCTTCCAAACCATCTTTATCAGTCATAAAGACGCAAAGCCAGGCACAAACCCACTTGGCTGTAAATGTTCAAGTCATGTTTAAGCATATTAAAGCAGCCCAAGGAATGTACTCCTTGGCTACTTGCCAACAATCCTCTACCCTTACAACTAATCTGTCAACTGTGGCTAGAGTTGGCATTATGACAAGCCAGGATATTTGTGATGAGGGAACATGTATGTCCTTTAAGGCATCATAGAAGAGTTACAAGAATCAAAGCAAAGCCTAATTCAGACACTTGCAAATAAGGAATGGGAGGCAAATAACACAAAATTGTAACGACTCTGAGTTCAGTCCCCAAGAATATCAACTTTTTCTTATGAATAAAAGAGTATCCAGTTTATATCACATCATTCTTAAGCATATCTCCAGGGGGGAAGGGATGAGCTAAGATCAAGTGGGAAAGGCACTGGACCAGACAATCTCATGAATGGATCATCAAGTTAGTTCCATTTCCATTAATATAAGATACTAAATGTACACAGCTCATATTTTCCCTCGAACATTTGGCTCTAGAATGTATGTACAAAATAAAAAGGTCGATAATGGCAATCTAATGGGGCACCTCCCACCAGCTTGCCAGAGGTAAATGATTCTGGGCCAGGGCTGCAGAATTTCTGAAGATAGTTTAGGAACTTCTCATGCCTCGGGATTTATAGTGCATTCTAGCTCCATGCTCCCCTGCCTCATGCATCACAATTCATTCCTCCTTCAGGTTTACACCCTGTAGGTATTTGTAGGATCATCACATGCCTCCTTAGTCATTAGTTGGCCCAGCTAGGCCCATTTCACACTGCTGAGCCCCCATTTCCTGCTTCTGAGCTCTCCTCGTGAATTAACCCAGCTAAGACATTCTTTTTCCCCCCTTCTACCAGGTTCCTCTGTGTCAGTATCTTCCCGACTGTTGATGGGAACTGTGCAATACCCCACGTGTGGTCCCACCAGTGTCGCACAGAGAGGGGCTGCAGCCCCCCTGCTCGCTGATGTGGTGTCTGAAATTGCATTCCCCTTTTTTTCTCCAAAGGCATCTGATGTTATGAACTTGCTGCTTCCCTGTGTGCCCATGATAATCCCTGGGTCTCTTCAGCCTCGCCACTGACGAAGCTCTGCCCTGCCATACACGGTGCAGCTCTTTGCCCTTGTCTCAGACCTCCACGTGCCAGCCCCTCCCAAATTAGTAGCTTCAAACTTCATTCAAGTGTTTACTCCCCCATCCAAACCAGGAAGGAAAGTATGAAAGAGGCTGATCCTGATGCCAGACTAGTGGGGAACTTCAGAGTCATCTCTCCTCCGCTCATGTCATTCAGCCAGTTTCCAATCCCTATGGCTACTCCAGAGGCTGAGCCAATTAATGTCTGGTTACGAGTTTGTTCGAGGAAGACTGTCGGTGTGATTCAGGCGGGGCCTGGGGAGAGACGGAGAGCTGAAGGGACCGATTTTCTGAAGGCCTCAGCTCCAAACCTCTCAGCCAAATGTGGGACCCAAACGTATTCATGC